CTTTTTGGTGGTTAAGTAGTCTCATGGTCTTTTCCGTTCAAGCTAGCTTTGAACTGGGTCCCTCAGCTTTCAGCCTCCGGAGTAAGATTACAGGCATGCGCCACCACACTGGGCAAAATATCACGCTGAAACGCTACTTTCTTCTCCCAGGTGTGAGCTATAACCACTGACTTCTCTCACATCGGCTAGGGCAGAAATAACCAGCATGTGACTCTAAGGGTTAACTCAGACAAGGCAGTGGAGACGGGCACAGCTCCCCCAAGTGGTAGAGTACCAGCAAGGCCCTGAGTTCAAGCAGAGAGAGAGAGAGAGAGAGAAACAAAAACTGGGATTACAGGAATGCACCACTGCACCAGATTCTCCAAAATAATGTTATGACAGAGGAAAGAGAAGAGGGGGAAGAGGAGGATCATGATGATCACCATCATGATCGTGATCATCATCATGATCATCATCATCAGGGCTGGGTCAGAAGGTAGGATTGGAGAGCTAGGGCCAGGCCTGAGCCAGAGTACAGCCCAGCCAGGGCCTGGGCTTTCTAAGCTGCAGCTCCTCCACACAGAGCACCAGTGTTCCCTGGGCACGGCTGCAGTCCAAGAGAAACATCGCTGGCACCAGGCAATGTCTGTCTCCCTCCCCCCTCCACAACTGTGCTCGCAGGTAGGTGGGGCAGGCGAGGAACTGGCCTCAGGAGACCCTTCTCAATAGCTGGGCACTGGGAAACCTAGAGGATGTAAACTCCTGCCTCAGCCTTCGTCTTGGGCACCCTATCAGTACTGGCTATACCCCCACAGCGCGCTTCCACCCCACACTTAACCTTCCTCAAGAAGTCACAAGTCAGATTGTTGTAGGCAAGCTGGGTGAGGTAATCCCAGCATTCGAGAAGCTGAGGCAGGAGGATCAGGGGTTCCAGATCAGCCAGGGCTGCATAGTGACAACTTGTCAAGAAGAGGTGGGAAGCCGGACACCGGTGGCTCACGCCTGTCATCCTAGCTCCTCAGGAGGCTGAGATCTGAAGGATCGCGGTTCAAAGCCAGCCTGGGCAGGAAAGTCCATGAGACTCTTATCTCCAATAAACCACCAGGAAACCGGAAGTGGCGCTCGCCTTAAGCTGAAGAGCTGAGGGACAGTGCCCAGGCCCTGAGTTCAAGTCCCAAGAATGACAAAGCAATAAAAGAGGTGAGAGAGGGAGGAAGGAAGGAGGGAGGGAAAAAGGGAGGGAAGGAGAAGAGGGAGGGAGGGAGGAAAGAAGGAAGGAGGGAGGGAAGGAAAAAGGAAGGAGGGAGAGGAAGGAAGGAAGGAAGGAAGGAAGGAAGGAAAAAGAAAAAGCAAGTTAGAGACTGCGAGTATAGCTACATGATGGAGGATTATTATATATGTGTGTGTATACTATATGTATATGTGTGTATATATATATATATATATATACATATAATAAGAAGTACCCTGGAATGTGAATGAAAGCAATAATGTGGGATCTAGTTCTTTTCTATCACCTCACTCAGCACCCTAGCAACCATATTTAGTAAAGGGAGCCCACAGCAAGGCCAGACCTAGAAGGAAAGATTAGGATAAACCACGTTTGAAAAGTTAACTAGTGATTTTCTAGTTTATCTTGGGGAGGAGATCACTCTTTTGTTTGGGAAGAAAAGGGAAAAAATTAGAAAACAAAGAGTTGGGGAGAGGTGTGGTGCCAAGAGTTCTAAGCCAGCCTGGACTACTGAGACCCATTCAATTCAATCAAGAAAAAAAGATAGTTGGGCACTGTGACTCCTGCCTGTAAATGCTAGTTCCTCAGGAGGCTGAGGTCTGAGGATCCTGGGTCAAAGTCAGTTGGACAAGGAAGTTTCAGACTTGAGACTCTAATCACCAACTTACCAGTAAAAAGGCAGAGGTGAAGAACTTGAGCTGTGGCTCAAGTGGTAGAACACTAACCTTGAGCAGAAATGCTGAAGGATAGTGCCCAGTTCAAGCCCCTGGAGACACACATACAATCACACACAATTACACACACACACAATCACACACACATTCACAGGGCTGTAATGAACCTTTTAGTTATGTAAACAAGTCCTTGGGCGATAGAGATAGGTTCTTCACCATAACAATGGCAAAGGAGGGGCTGTAACTTACCCTAGGCCTAGGTTACAGCTCTAGTGCTGGGGGGGGGGGCAGTATTGAGTAGGGAAAGGAGTGTGCTCTAGGGCAGATCTCCACCCTCCAGAGGTGAAAATCACTTCTGATTTTTCAGCCTAAGGGAGACCAGAGACGGCTACCCCAGTTCATCCAATCATCTAGGAGCTCACGAGAGAAGAGCGTGCAGGTAAGGCAAACCTGAGCCAGGTAGGGTGGGGTTATGGAGGGGGGGGGCGGTCTGAGAACTCCTATAAGGCTGGGATTTGCCAACCCAGTTCCTCCCTTTCTGAAGCTTAAATTAAGTGAGGAATCCTGCTTTTTGTGACTAACTTCCTTTCTCTTCCCTTCCCTTCCTCCCCTCCTCCTTTCTTATGCTATTATAGAGGCTTGAACTCAGGATCAGGAATCTTGTTCTCAGCTTTTTTCACTCAAGGCTGGCTGGTAGCCGGGCGCTGGTGGCTCATGCTTGTCATCCTAGCTACTCAGGAGGCTGAGATCTGAGGATCTCGGTTCAAAGCCAGCCCGGGCAGGAAAAACCATGAGACTCCTATCTCCAATAAACCACTAGAAAAACAGAGTAGCGCTGTAGCTCAAGTGGTAGAGCGCTCGCCTTGAGCTGAAGAGCTCAGGGACAGCACCCAGGCCCAGAGTTCAAGCCCCATGACTGACAAAAAAAAAAAGAGAAAAAAAAGGCTGGCTGGTACTCCACCATTTGAGCCATCCCTCCATTTCCAGGTTTTTAGTGGTTCATTGGGTGCCTCGTACCAGAGATCCTCAGATCTCAGCCTTAGAATCTAAGGTTACAGGCATGAGCCGCCACTGACACTAGGCTTGCACCAAGCTCCTGGGAGAATCATATTGTCATTTACTCAGCCAAAGACGGAGTGAAATCCTCCAGGGTGGCTCTTGGTCTGTCTCCATCCTGCCAAGGGGAACCTGGCTGAGATAAAAGATGACCAGAGCTAGAAGGGGAATGGCCTTCTAGAAAGACAGAAGACATGTGCGCAAGGCCCAAGAAGCAGGGGGGAGCCAGGGATAGGTGAATGACAGTTTCACTGGGCTGGAATGGAGAGAGGAAGGGTAGGCAAATACAGTCATATTATTCCCTGAAAATGGAACCAGGGCACTTGAGGGGGTATGGGGGATTTTGATCAAGAAGCCTTGTATTTATTTATTTTTTATTTTTTTGGTCTGATATATATACATATATATACATATATATCCATCTATCTGTGTAAGTGGGTATGAGAAACTGAAAACTCCAAGGTGCGCTTCATATAGCCCAATTGGTAGTTTAAATAACACTCTGAAGGGTTTCGGGAGAGCAAATGACAGTTCTGGCCCCTGTACCAGGATGGCATAGCGGACGGGAGGAGCAGGGCTAGGGCCAAGGGGTAGCAGAGCGAGGAACCCACTACAACTTGGAAGCCTGGCCAGGGCCTTGGGGCTGGGGGCGGGGAGCTCGCGCCTGTAATCCTAGCTACTCAAGAGGCTGAGATCTGAGGATCTGTGTTCAAAGCCAGCCCAGGGAAGACAAATCCAAGAGACACCTTGAATTAACCACCCAAAAGCCAGTAGTGGAGCTGTGACTCAAGTGGTGAAGCACCTGCCTTCAGAGCATGAGACCCTCCCAGGACCACACTCACAGAAAAAAAGAGGGGTTCCGCCGTAGATTGAGCGGGGTACGTGGTAGCTTTCTAAAACGCCGGGGTGGGCTGGACCCGAACGCTGTGCTTCAGGTGGGTGGAGATGAGGGCGGCCGGGTTCTCCTGCAGGATAAAGCTGGTCAGGAAGGACGGTGTGGGGGCGTGGCCTAGTCGATGGGCGTGGTTTGAGCACCTTGGGGGAAGGTGGGTGTCCCGCAGCCACGCCTCCCAGGGTGAAGCTGGTTCGTAAGGGGGCGCGGCCATGTCTGGGTGTGGCCACACCCGGTGGGCGTGGTTTGTGTGAGCGCCTGGGAGCGGTGGGCGGCCCCGCGGCCACGCCTCCCAGAGTGAAGCGAGTCCGCGAGGGGCGTGGCCTCCTCGCGAGGGGCGTGGCTTGTGTGAGCGCCTCGGGGGCGGTGGGCGGCCCGCGGCCACGCCTCCCAGGGTGAAGCGGGTCCGCGAGGGGCGTGGCCTCGGCGCGAGGGGCGTGGCTTGTGTGAGCGCCTCGGGAGCGGTGGGCGGCCCGCGGCCGCACCTCCCAGGGTGAAGCGGGTCCGCGAGGGGCGTGGCCTCCGCGCGGGGGCGTGGCTTGTGTGAGGGCCTCGGGGGCGGTGGGCGGCCCCGCGGCCACGCCTCCCAGGGTGAAGCGGGTCCGCGAGGGCGTGGCCTCCGCGCGGGGGGCGTGGTTTGTGTGAGCGCCTCGGGAGCGGTGGGCGGCCCGCGGCCACGCCTCCCAGGGTGAAGCGGGTCCGCGAGGGGCGTGGCCTCCGCGCGGGGGGCGTGGCTTGTGTGAGGGCCTCGGGGGCGGTGGGCGGCCCGCGGCCACGCCGCGGCCGCTGCGGTGCATTCCAGGCTCTCCCGCCCGGGGCCGAGCAGCTGCGGGGCTGAGTCTGCGGGGACCCCCGCCGGGCGCGGGGCGGCGGAGGAGCCAGGTGAGCCGGCTCCCATTGCCAAGGTTTCAGGTGACCCCGGAGCCCCGGCTGCGCTCCCCGCGCCAGGGGGCGGGCGGCGGCGGGGCTGCCCCCCAGCTCCGGGCCCCGGGGACGCGGGCGTCCGAGCGGCGCGAGTCGGGGGTGGCGTGGGGGGGGCGGTAAATCAGTAACCCGGGGCGTACACAGGGCCTTTTGTCCCGCTCCGTCCAAAGAGCACCGGAGAGCGCGAGCCCCGGCCGCCGAGCTGGTTACTTATTGCCCACCGCGGGCAGGGCCGGGCCGGCCGTCCGCACGCTCCGCGGCCGATCGTCTGGGAACCGGGGCTCCGAGGGGTGCGGGCTTGATGGCGGGAGGCTCAGGACTGTCCTCTGGCCGCAAGTACCCCGCCATCGGTCAGGCGTGACCCCGGCCAAGCGACTCTGAGGTTGTAAGGTCAAGGCAGTCCGGGGGATGGGGAGCAGAACCCCTCGGCTGGGGACCTGGAAGTATTGTAGGGGCTTCTACGGAGTTCAGGGACCAGGCCAGGGCGGGACGGGGCGGAGGGGGGGGTGCTGGGTGCAGAGAAAATCTGAGCTGGGTGCTTGCTGCTGGCTCACGTCTGTAGTAATCCTAGCTACTCTGGAGGCTGAGATCTGAGGATCCAGGTGTGAGACCAGCCAGGGCAGGAAAGTACGGTAAGACCCTTCAACCCGGTGAACCCGCAGAAAGCCAGAAGTTGGAGGCATGGCACAAAGTGGTAGAACACTAGCCTTGAGCAGAAAAAGCCAAGGGACGTGCCTAACCTGACCCTGAGACAGAGAGGGGGAGGGAGGAAGGAGAGAGAGACAGACAGATAGACAGAGACAGAGAGAGAGAACACTCTCAGATCTGAGGCAAGTGGAGAGTGTCCACTTCGGTAAATTATAGAGGATATCTTTTAAGAATCATGCTCTGAGCTGGGTGCTGGTGGCTCATGCCTGTCATCCTTAGCTACTCAAGCAGGCTGAGATCTGAGGATTGTGGTTCGAAGCCAGCCAGGGCAGAAAAGTCCCCATGAGACTCTTCTCTCCAATAATGTACTCAAACAAGCTGGAAGTGGTGCTGTGGCTCAAGTGAGAGAATGCTAGCCTTGAGCACAAAGAGGCTCAGACTCTCGGTTCAAGTCCCTGGACCAGGGGGGAAAAAAGAAAAGAAAAAAGAATCATGCTCTTGAGCTGAAGATATGAGCTCTTGAGGTTCCTGAGTTCCAACCACAGTACCACCCACCAAAAGAAAAGAATTATGCTCTTCAACTGGCCATAGTTGAGTGGTAAAGTGCTTGCTTAGCATGCACAAGGCCTTGGGTTCATCCCCAGGAACTTCTTCTTCCTTCCTGCCCCCCAAAAGCCTGCTCTGATTCAGAGATGGAAGTTCTGCCTAGCTGTTACCCAGCCCAAGAGACAACCATTAGATCCCTGGGACTATACTGACCCATCGGTTCCCTGCTCAACCGAGCTCAGTGCTTTTTTTTTTCTTTCTTTCTTTCTTTCTTTTGGTCATGGGACTTGAACTCTGGGTCTGGGCTCTGTCCCTCAGCTCTTCAGCTCAAAGTGAGCGCTCTACTACTTGAACCACAGCACCACTTCCAGTTTTCAGATGGTTCATTGGAGTTAATAGTGTCATGGACTTTTCTGCCAGGGCTGGCTTTGAACCACCATCCTCAGATCTCAGCCTCCTGAGTAGCCAGGATGACAGGCGTGAGTCACTGGCACTCAGCCTCCTAGCTCAGTTTTGAGTGCTCCTTTTGGGAGACCAAGATATCTTCATGGCAGTGTGCATGTGTGCACATGTGTGTGCATGTGTGTGCGCTCCAGTACTGGGGCTTACCTTTAGGGCCTTGTACTTTTTTTTTTTTTTGTCCATCATGGGGCCTGAACTCTGGGTCTGGGCACTGTCCCTCGGCTCTTCAGCTCAAGGCTAGTAGCTCCACCACTTGAGCCACAGCGCCACTTCCGGCTTTTTCTGCTTATGTGGTGCTGAGGAATCGAACCCATGGTCTCATGCATGCAAGGCAAGCACTCAGCCTTGTACTCTTGACTTTTTTTTTTCCCGCTAAGGCTAGCACTCTATCACTTGAGCTATGCCTCCACTTCCAGCTTTTTGCTAGTTAATTAGGGATTAGTCTCACAGACTCTTCTGGGCAAGCTTCTAACTATTATCCTTGGATCTCAGCCTCCTGAATAGCTAGGTGTGAGGCATAGCACCTGGTTCCTCATAACACTTGGAAGAAGTTAACCAGATGCAGAGAATGTATACCTTATATCTGACAGGAGTGGTTTTAGAAGCAGAGATGAGTGGCGGAGGGCAGACCCGGAGTGACAGGTGAAAGGTCATGGAATGGGGTAGGGAGAAGAATTCACCACCATTACAATGGTCTTCCCTGTATTATCTCTTATCCACTCTGCAGTTCTGTTAGGATAACGTTGGAAAGAGAATCTGAGGACTTGTTGTAAAGAGTCAGCATTTGAACTTGGGCACTGTCTGACCTTTAATGACTACAGTCTTTACCAAAGTGGCTAGAGATCCATAGCTCAGTGGTAGAATGCTCGTCTAGCATGCACAAGGCTCTGAGTTCAATCCTCAGCCCTGCAGAGTGAAGCCAACAAAACCCTGGTGTTGCAAGTCGCTGGTGGCTCATGCCTGTGTAATCCCAGCTACTCAGGAGGTTTGAGTTCTGGGGACTGCAGTTTGAAGCCAACCCTGGCAGGAAAGTCAGTCTGGGTCTTATCTTCAATTCACCACCAAAAAGCCAGAAGTACAGCTGTGACTCAAGTGATAAAGCTGCCAGCCTTCAGTTGGAAAAAGCTAAGGGACAGTGCCCCAGGTCATTGAGTTCAAGCCTCATTACTGGCACAAACAAACAAACACTTGGCTTTGTTTTCTGTTTCTTCTACCACCCCCTTTTTTGCCTCTTCAGCAATAAATTCATTTATTCAGCAAAAATAAAAATAAATAAATGATGTGTGTTGAGAGAGAGAGAGAGAGAGAGCAGAAGTTCTGTCTTTCTGCTAAGGAAAGCATCCTCAAACTGCTCTTTCTGTGAACTCACGCCAGGGGCTCAGCAAGACCCAAGGCGAGCAGGAAGCCCAGCCGGGCCCTCCTGCCGAATCTCCGGTGGGGGGGAGGGCAACAACAGCGCTGGTTCTAGTCTCTGCCCTGCTACTGCCTGGCGTGGGGGACTTAGATGACCCTGCTGGCCATTTCCTGTCTCGGTTTCCTCATCGGTCAACTCGGGATCTGTGCCAGCAAAGGCACTGCCATAGCAGAAACTCTTTCTTTCCGCCTTCTCCTGCCTTAGGAAAGTGAGCCCCCCAAAACACATCAGAGCAGCAGGAAGGAGATGCAGCTGGTATTGGCCCTTGTGGGGGTCCTTCTGGGGGCGCCTGGAATGCCAGCTTGGGCCCTTGAAGCCTCTGAGGAGACGGAGCTGGGTATGGTCGTGGGAGAGGGTGGCAGGGACGGGAAGCGTGGGCATCAGGAAGGGACTGCTGGCTGAGGGGGTGCTGGGGAGAAGATGGCAGCGGGGAGCTGGGCTCCAGCATTGCCAGATGGCTGTCTGGCTCCCAGCAAGCACCTGTGTCTGTGTGTCTACAGAGATGACTGGCCTTTCGGCTGTCCAGCTGGTGGTGAGCCCCTTGGTTGTGTGTGTGTGTGTGTATGTGTGTGTGTGTTAAGCGCTGGCATGTCTGGTGTGGCATGTGTGTGTGTAACATGCCCCCAAGAGGAGCCTGGCTCCGCAGCGCATGCGTGGGAACCTCTGCTGACCTGGCGTGTGCCCCTGCATGGTGCCTAGTGGTAGGAGGCTGCTTCAACTGGGGTTCCGGGGTCCTCTGAGAGCTCCCTTCTGCCCTCAGAGCCCTGCTCGGCCCCCAGTCTGGAGAAGCAAGAGCAAGAACTGTTGGTGGCCATCGGGCAAGCTGTGCAGCTGTGCTGTGGGCAGGCTGAGCGTGGTGGCCACTGGTACAAGGAGAGCGGTCGACTGGCACCTGCAGGCCGGGTCCGGGGCTGGAGAGGCCGCCTGGAGATTGCTAGCTTCCTGCCTGAGGATGCCGGCCACTACTTCTGCCTGGCCCGGGGGTCTATGAGCGTCCTGCACAACCTCACGTTGGTTGCAGATGGTAAGAGTGTGTAACACAGGGGACAGGGGTGCCTGAACCTTCCATCTGGGATCTCAGATCCTTCTGCCTTCTTCCGTTTCTAAAGTAGACTCGTTGACCCTCAGCCGTGGTGATGATGAGGACCCTCAAGCTCCCGGGGGCTCCTCCAAGGGCCATGTGTACCCCCAGCAAGGTTGGTATGAATCCTCAAAGACTCGTGTCTCTACTCTCTTTGGTGGGTGGGTGTGGGTGAGCCAGTCCTGGGCTTTGAACCCAAGGCCTGGGCACTCTACCATTTGAGCCACAGCGCCACTTCCAGTTTGTTGGTGGTTCATCGGAGATAAAGAGTCTCAGGGACTTTCCTGCCCAAGCTAGCTTTGAACCTCAGTCCTCAGATCTCAGCCTCCTTGAGTAGCTAGGATGACAGGTTTGAGTCACCAGCAGCTGGCTTCTCTGCTGTCTGTCCGATCACCTAGAAGACTGGGAGCCAGTGATCATGTTTGGAGAGCTAGATACTCACCTTTCCCTCCATCCCCAGCACCCTACTGGACACACCCCCAGCGCATGGAGAAGAAGCTGCACGCAGTGCCTGCTGGGAACACTGTGAAATTCCGCTGCCCAGCTGCGGGCAACCCCACGCCCACCATCCGCTGGCTGAAAGATGGACAGGCCTTCCACGGGGAGAATCGCATTGGTGGCATTCGGGTAAATGTCTGTTCCCCCGTGACCAGTCCCCTCGTGTATACAGATAAAGCCGATGAAGAAGACATTTGTGGATGGGCACCAGTGACTCACGCCTGTCATCCCAGCTGCTTGGGAGGCTGAGATCTGAGGATCACAGTTCAAAGCCAGCCCAGAAAGTCCATGAGACTCTTATCTCCAAGTGACTACCAAAAATAAGCCAGAAGTGGTGCTGTGGCTAGAGCGCTCGCCTTGAGCTGAAGAACTGAGGGACAGCGCCCTGGCCCAGAGTTCAGCCCCAAGACCCAGGAAAAAAAAAAAGAGCTAAGGGCTGGGTGCTGGTGGCTTATGCCTATAACCCTAGCTACTCAGGAGGCCAAGATCTAAGGATCAAAGCCAGCCTGGGCAGGAAAATCCATGAAAGTCCATGACATTTCTTATCTTCAATGAACCACCAGAAAACCAGAAGTGGCGCTGTGGCTCAAAGTGGTAGAGCACTCACCTTGAGCAAAAGACCTCAGGGACAGCACCTAGGCCCTGAGTTTGAGCCCCAGTACCTGCACAGAGACTCAAACCTTGAGTCTTTGAATACTTCTAGAAGCCTTTGTTGGTGGTGATGGTGATGGTCTTGGGGCTTGAACTCTGGGCCTGGGCGCTGTCCCTGTGCTCATCAGCTCAAGGCGAGCGCTCTACCACTTGAGCCACAGCGCCACTTCCGGCTTTTTTCTTTTTGCTTATGTGGTGCTGAGGACTCGAACCCAGGGCCTCATGCATGCAAGGCAAGCGCTCTACCACTTGAGCCACAGCGCCACTTATGGTTTTCTGGTGGTTCATGGGAGATAAGAGTCTCCCAGCCTTTCCTGCCTGGGCTGGCTTTTGAACCAGGATGTTCAGATCTCAGCCTCCTGAGTAGCTAGGATGACAGGCGTGAGCCACCGGCACCCAGTTAGGAGACTTTTTGTTTGTCCTAAGGTGCCTGGCCTTGGCCTGCCCTTCTCTGAGCCTTGAAAGCTAAAGACAGGCCCTGTGTGTGCAACACTGGCCCCTCCTGCCCTGCCTCTGGTGTGTGTGGGGGGGTGCTTGTTGGTCTCCCATGGCTTCTTCCTCTGCCCCCAGCTGCGGCACCAGCACTGGAGCCTGGTGATGGAAAGTGTCGTGCCCTCCGACCGTGGCACCTACACCTGCCTCGTGGAGAACGCCGTGGGCAGCATCCGTTACAGCTATCTGTTGGATGTGCTGGGTGAGTGGAGGGGACTGGTCCTGCCCTCCAAGGGTGGGGGCTGTGTGGACTGGAGGAGAAAGCGGAGCTGCCAGGCAGAGGGTACAGTGTAAAGCCCACGTGTGAAGAACGCAGTGCCTTCGCAGGCAGGTGGGCAGGCAGGCTGTAGAAGGAGGTTGATAGAGCTGGGCACTGGTGGCTCACGCCTGTCATCCTAGCTGCTCAGGAGGCTGAGATCTGAGGATCGAGGTTCAAAGCCACCCTGGGCAGGAAAGTCTATGAAACTCTTAGCTCCAATAAACCACTCAAAAACGGGAAGTGGCGCTGTGGCTCAAGTGGTAGAGCGCTCGCCTTGAGTTGAAGAGCTGAGGGACAGCGCCCAGGCCCAGAGTTCAAGCCCCACGACCGACCAAAAAATAAAAGGAAAGCAGGTTGATTGTTAGGCTGAGAAGCTGCTCTGAGCTCAAAGGGAATAAGGGAGCATTGAAGGATTAAGCCAGGGAAGCCGGAGCTGGGCAGACTCTGAGCTGACCGTGGGGAAGGCCCTATCTGTGAACTGGGGAAAAAAGACCAGTACCAGCGGCTCACCTGTAATTCCGGCCGCTCCAGAGGTTGAGATCTGAGGATCAAAGTTTAATGCCAGCTCAGGGTAGCAAACTTTGTGAGACTCTTATCTCCAATTAATCATCAAAAAAAGCAGAAGTGGAACAGGGATTCCAGTGGTAGAGTATGTCAGCCTTGAGTGAAAGCTAAGAGAAGCCGGACACCAGTGGCTCACGCCTGTCATCCTAGCTACTCAGGAGGCTGAGATCTGAGGATCACGGTTCAAAGCCAGCCTGGGCAGGAAAGTCCATGAGACTCATCTCCCATAAACCACCAGAAAACCAGAAGTGGCGCTGTGGCTCAAGTGGTAGAGCGCTCGCCTTGAGCTGAAGAGCTGAGGGACAGCGCCCAGGCCCAGAGTTCAAGTCCCATGACTGACCAAAAAAAAAGTTAATAGCATGTAGGCTCTGAGTTCAAGACACACACACACGCACACACACACAGAGGACGGAATGAGAGGGAGGTAACTAAAGGGGGTGCTTGTATGGGTGCCGCTGGTCAGGGATGACGGCCTGGCCCGGCCCCCAGAACGGTCCCCGCACCGGCCCATCCTGCAGGCCGGGCTTCCGGCCAACACCACGGCTGTGGCGGGCAGCGACGTGGAGCTGCTGTGCAAAGTGTACAGCGACGCGCAGCCGCACATCCAGTGGCTGAAGCACATCGTCATCAATGGCAGCAGCTTTGGCGCGGACGGCTTCCCCTACGTGCAGGTCCTAAAGGTGAGCGATCCCCGGCTCCCACAGGGGTGGGGGGTGGACACCTGCCCTCTCCCCCACTCCCTACCCCTCTCCCCCTCCTCCCACAGACCGCAGACATCAACAGCTCTGAGGTGGAGGTCCTGTACCTGCGCAATGTGTCTGCTGAGGATGCGGGCGAGTACACCTGCCTGGCCGGCAACTCCATCGGCCTCTCTTACCAGTCGGCCTGGCTCACGGTGCTGCCAGGTGGGCCCCCCAGGACCCTTCCCCATCCTCCAACACACACACTCTGGCCCATCTCGCTTGGCCTTGTGGGATATGGCTGTGTGAATGGCTCACGTCTGTCATCCTGGCTGCTCAGGATGAGGAGATCTGAGGATCGTGATTTGAGCTAGGGAAGTCCATGAAATTCTTGCACTCTAATTAACCCCCCCCCCCCCCCACACACACACACCAAAAGAAAAGAGGAAGTCTGGCATTGGCAGGTCACGCCTGTCATCCCAGCTACTCAGGAGGCTGAGATCTGAGGATCACAGTTCAAAGCCAGCCCAGGCAGGAAAGTCCGTGAGACTCTTATCTCCAGTGAACCACCAGAAAACCAGAAATGGTGCTGTGGCTCAAGTGGTGGAGCGCTCACCTTGAGCTGAAGAGCTAAGGGATGGCATCCAGGTCCACAGTTCAAGCCCCACAACCAACCAAAAAAAAAAAGGGGGGTGGGGGGTGGAGCTGTAGATCAAGTGTAGGGTGCCAGCCAAGCAAGAGCACAAGATCCTGGGTTCAGTTCACACACACCCAAGCCAGGACTTGTGTTTGATTCCATTTATGTCCCCATCCATGCAGCCCTCTGACCCGTGAGACCCTGTAAAAATACAGTTTTGTTTGTTTTTTGTCAGTCCTAGGGCTTAAACTCAGGGCCTAAGTAAGCGCTGTCCCTGAGATTCTGTGCTCAAGGCTAGCACTCTACCACTTTAAGGCACAACTCCATTTCTGGTTTTGAGACCCCATTTCTGGTTTTCTGGTGGTTCATTGGAGATGAGAGTCTCACAGACTTTCCTGCCTGGGCTGGCTTTGAACGTGGATCTTCAGATCTCAGCCTCCTGAGTAGCTGGGATGACAGGTGTGAGCCACCAGCACCCTGCAGAAATGCAGTTTTCTATGTGTGTCCCTAAGTGCACTGGATGGGGGGGAGGGTCAGGACCTTGCTGGGGGTGGGGCTGGACATTGACCACTCTGCTCATTTCCTGTCTGTCATTCGTCGGTGGACAAGCAGAGGAGGATCTCACGTGGACAGCGGCCACGCCAGAAAGCAAGTATACGGACATCATCTTGTATGCCTCGGGTGCCTTTGTCTTGGCCGTGCTCCTGCTGCTGGCAGGCCTGTATCGAGGGCAGGCCCTCCATGGCCGCCACCCACGCCAGCCCGCCCCTGTACAGAAGCTGTCTCGCTTCCCTTTGGCTCGGCAGGTACTGTGTCAACCCCCTACACACCCCGTCCCTCCGGGCTTGGAGCCCGATTGTAGCAAGCCATCCCTTCCTCTGCGCAGTTCTCTCCAGAGTCCGGTTCCTGGGGCAAGTCAAGCTCGTCTTTGGTGCGGGGTGTCTGGCTGCCTTCCCCGGGCCCCCCCTTGCTGGCTGGTCTTGTGAACTTGGACCTCCCTCTGGACCCTCTGTGGGAGTTCCCTCGGGACAGGTACACGGAGCAGGACCAGGAAGGGGCTGCCCTGAGCTGCCCCCCAGAGCTCTGAGGCTTGGGCTTTCTTGGCCTCCAGGCTGGTACTCGGCAAGCCACTGGGAGAGGGCTGCTTCGGGCAGGTGGTTGGCGCAGAGGCCTTCGGGATGGACCCCACCCAGCCGGACAAAACCAGCACTGTAGCTGTCAAGATGCTCAAAGGTGGGTGTGGCCACCAGTAGCGGGGAAGAGAGCAGAAGTAGCAGAAGGGGTGGGTATGGAGAGAGACTTCCGGATGCCAGCGATGCTGGTATACTAGGAGTTACTTCTAAGTGCTCAGGCCTTGAGTTCAAGCCCCAGGAACTCTCCCCCTCCCACTCCAAACACACACACACACACAGTCCCAGGCCTCCAAGTGTTGTATTGAATCTACTCAGAAGCCAGATGCTGGTGGCTCACACCTGTAATCCCAGCTACTGAGGAGGCTGAGATCTGAGGATCATGGTTCAAAGCCAGCCCAGGCAGGAAACTCCCTGAGACTTATCTCCAATAAACTGCTAGAAAACCAGAAGTGGCGCTGTGGCTCAAGTGGTAGGGTGCTCACCTTGAAGAGCTAAGGGACAGCGCCCAGGCTCTGAGTTCAAGCCCCATGGCAGATAATAATAATTTTTAAAAAAGGCTTATCTCCAAAGAGCCACAAGAACACCGGAAGTGGCTCTGTGGCTCAAAGTGGTAGAGCACTAGCCTTGAATGAAAGAGCTCAGGGACAGAGCCCAGGCCCTGAGTTCAAGCCCCATGAATGGAAAAAAATAAACAAACAAGAATACTCTAGCCCCTTCTGCAAAAACTGGCCCCAGCCACCATTCAACTCCCTCTCCTCCCTCCCTCCTCCCTCCTCCCTCCTCCTCTCTACACAGCTGGAGCCACCTGGTGCTTTGTGGACAGCAGGGATTGAGAAATGCGCCTTATGATCATTGCTGTGTGGGCAAGGGGGGGAGGGTTAATATCATTGTATCATTGTCCCAAGGCCATTGACACCCCCCCAGGTCAGGCCTGGGGGTGTATCCTAAAGCCTCAGCTCTCTCCCCAGAAGCCAGAGCTCTCCCTAGCTGTGGCCTGGCAGCAGCCTCCCCCAATTCCCAGGCCAGATAGACGGCAGGCCCTGTGTTTACCTCAGGGTGCCAGTGTGTACCCTTTCTACTACTCCTAGGAGCTGTGTCCCGTTCCTCCTCTCCCCCCCCACCCCCCATGCTCAGGGACTGGTGCCAACCCCTCCAGATACAGCTTCCTTCCTGTTTGGAGGTCTTAACTCTTGCCTGTCTCTTATTCCCTGAGCTTGCTCACAGGAAGGCTTACTTTCAGATCTTTTTTCTTTTCTTTCTTCTGCTGGTCCTAAGTCTTGAACTCAGGACCCTGTCCCTGAGCTCTTTTGCTCAAGGCTAGTACTCTACCATTTTGAACCATAGTTTCACTTCTGGTTTTCTGGAAATAAGAGTCTCTCGTGGACTTTCCTGCCCAGACTGGCTTTGAATCTCCATCCTCCGATCTCAGCCTCTTCTGAGTAGCTAGGATGACAGGCATGAGCCATCAGCACCCAACGTGTCTCTGCTTTTGTGCTCCAGGCTGGTGCTCTACCACTTGAGCCACAGCTCTATTTGGGGTGGTTCGCTGGAGACAAGTCTCACAGACTTCCCTGTGCAGGCTAGTATCAAACCCCAGGCCTCAGATCTCAGCCTCCTGAGTAGCTAGGGTGACAGGTGTGAGCCACCTGGGTGTGAGTTCAGGCTCCTTGACCGGACTGTTGTCTTCACAGACAACGCCTCCGACAAGGACCTGGCCGATCTGGTGTCGGAGATGGAGGTGATGAAGCTGATTGGCCGACACAAGAACATCATCAACCTACTGGGTGTCTGCACCCAGGGAGGTGGGGCAAAGCTGGGGGCGTGGCTGGGGGCGTGGCTGGGGGTAGAGGGGGCAGAGACAGAGTCTTAGCAGCCTGGCTGTGCCCCCCACCCCACCCCTGCCCCCTCTGCAGGGCCTCTGTATGTGATCGTGGAGTGTGCAGCCAAGGGAAACCTCCGCGAGTTTCTCCGGGCCCGGCGACCCCCAGGCCCTGACCTCAGCCCCGACGGGCCAAGGAGCAGCGAGGGGCCCCTGGCTTTCCCAGGCCTGGTCTCCTGCGCCTACCAGGTGGCCCGGGGCATGCAGTACCTGGAATCCCGGAAGGTGGGCGTGACTGGCAGCCCTCCAGACCATCTGCGCATGCTCCTGCTGGTCATTCATTGTCCCCCCACTGGTCTGTCTTCACTCGGCCACCTTCAGTGTCCCCTGTCTTTATTCCCAGGCCCCCATCCCAGTCAGCTACTACTGCCTGGCCCCTTTTCCTCTCCATTCCCTGAGCAAAAGCAAGGAAGTCCCGGAGTTCCCTGCTGCTGTCATGCTTCTCTCTCTTCCTTTGTTTCCTTCCTTCCCTCCTCCCTTCCTCTTCCTTCCTTTATCCCCTCTGCTCCCTTTCCCTCTCCCCTCCCTGCCTCTCCTCTTACCGTTACATTGCCCTTTTCTGAATCTCGCACCTCCTCATCTGTAAAATGGGTGGACCAGCCAAGTGGCTCACGCCTGTCATCCCAGCTACTCAGGAGGCTGAGATCTGAGGATCGCGGTTCAAAGCCAGCCCGAGCAGGAAAGTCCGGGAGACTCTGATCTCCAATGAACCACTAGAAAACCGGAAGTGGCGCTGTGGCTCAAGTGGTAGAGCGCTCGCCTTGAGCTGAAGAGCTCAGGGACAGCGCCCAGGCCCAGAGTTCAAGCCCCAGAACCGACCAAAACAAATGGATGGATGAGTCAGGCACACTCCACCCATACACACAGGCTCCCTGTGAGACTCTGGGCACAGCTCCCAGCGTGTGTCCTCATGAGCCCGAGCCCATCTTCTGTCCCCTGTCCTTCCCCCGCAGTGTATCCACCGGGACCTGGCAGCCCGCAATGTGCTGGTGACTGAGGACAATGTAATGAAGATCGCTGACTTCGGGCTGGCCCGCGGCGTCCACCACATTGACTACTACAAGAAAAACAGCAATGTGAGTCGGGGCGGGGCGAAGCTGGACGCGGGGGAGGGGGGGAGGGGGGGACTTAGGGTGGCAAGCACCTCCCCAGCGACCTGGGGACTCGGCTTAGTGTGTCCCCACCTGACTCCCGTCCAGGGCCGCCTGCCGGTCAAGTGGATGGCGCCTGAGGCCTTGTTTGACCGCGTATACACACACCAGAGTGATGTGTGAGTTCTGGAGACCCTGGGGGGGGGGGGGAGCCTTTGGTGGGGGGTGTCTGCCACCATCGCTGTCCTGACCTGTGACAGCGATGACTTCCCTGGCTGGGAAGGTGGCTCAGTGGTAGAGCGCTCGCCTTGAGCTGAAGAGCTGAGGGACAGCGCCCAGGCCCAGAGTTCAAGCCCTATGACTGACCAAAAAGAAAACAAAGAAAGCCTCACGATGTGGCTTGGCTGTTGTTTTACTCAAGGCTGGCGTTCTACCAACTGAGCCATCGCCCCCCTTTCTAGTTTTCCAGCAGCTAATTGGAGAAAAGAGTCTCCCAGACTGGTTGGCCAAGGCTGGCTTCGAACTGCCATCCTCAGCTCTCAGTCTCCTGAGTGGCTGGGATGCCAGGCGGGAGCCACCAGCGCCCAGCTCCAGGGTTTTCTTCTGAGCAGGCCTGGGACTTGGATGGGACTAGGCCCCCAGTGGACACAGTTGTGCCCGCCCCACAGGAATAGGGGGGAAGCTGTCCCCCCACTGAGCTCTGGTCCCACCCCCAGGTGGTCTTTTGGAATCCTGCTCTGGGAGATTTTCACTCTCGGAGGGTCTCCGTACCCGGGAATCCCAGTGGAGGAGTTGTTCTCACTGCTGCGGGAAGGACATCGGATGGACCGGCCCCCCACCTGCCCCCCGGAGCTGTGAGGCCTGGCCCTGCCCCCCCACCTTCCCCCAGCATCATCCTCTGCAGTGATCTCAGGACTGGTTTGGGGGTCAGCTGCTGCTGCTCCCTGCTCCTCTTCCTCCTCTTCCTCCTCTCCCTGGGGACAGCCCATGGTGGGAGGGGGGCAGCCAGTGCATTGGGGAGCTCAGACCTGGATTCTCCATCCTTCTACTCAATCACCCTGCTATCCCCACAGCTAAACCCTTACCCATAGCCCAGTGTCGGTGGCTCACGCCCTCCATCCCAGCCACTCAGGAGGCTGTGAGACTCCTATCTCCAACAGACCACCAGAAAACCAGGAATGGCGCTGTGGCTCGAGTGGTAGAGCACTAGTCTTGAGCAAAAGAACTCAGGGACAGTGCCCCAGGTTCCGAGTTCAAGCCCAAAACTGACAACAACAAAAACCTTTACCTAGCTGGGCACCAATGGCTCACACCTGTCATCCTAGATACTCAGGAGGCTGAGATCTGAGGATTGCGGTTCAAAGCCAGTCTGGGCAAGAAAGTCTCTGAGACTCTTTTTTGTTGTTGTTGTTGGTCATGGGGCTTGAACTCAGGGCCTGGGCACTGTCCCTGAGCTCGAGTGCTCTACCACTTGAGCCACAGCACCACTTCTGGTTTTCTAGTGGTTTATTGGAGATCTGAGTCTCACAGTCTTTCCTGCCTAGGCTGGCTTTGAACCTCGATCCTCAGATCTCAGCCTCCTGAGTAGCCAGGATGACAGGCGTGAGCCACCGGCACCAAGCTTATCTGTGAGACTTTATTTCCAATGAACCACCAGAAAACCAGAAGTGGCGCTGTGGCTCAAGTGGTAGAGCGCTCACCTTGAGCTGAAGAGCTGAGGGACAGCGCCCAGGCCCAGACCCACTACTGACAAAAAAAGAAACCTTACCTAGCTCCACCAGGTCCAACTCCAGGGCCCCTGAGCCTCCCCGCTTCCCCCCTCCATCTCAGGTACGGGCTAATGCGTGAGTGCTGGCATGCCGTGCCCTCCCAGAGACCCACTTTCAAACAGCTGGTGGAGGCCTTGGACAAAGTCCTGCTGGCTGTCTCTGAGGAGGTACTACCCCTCTCCTGCCCCCTCCACTGCCCGCCCCCCACCCCGGACCCCATCAACCTGAGCACATAGGCATCTTTTCCCCGAGAGGCTGGAAGCTGATCAGTCCATCTCTTCCAGTACCTTGACCTGCGCCTGACCTTTGGCCCCTACGCCGCCCCTTCCGGTGGGGACTCCAGCAGCACCTGCTCCTCCAACGATTCTGTCTTCAGCCACGACCCCCTGCCCCTGACGTCCACTCCCTTCCCCTTTCCGGGGGTGCAGACAGGAACTGGGGTATGAGGTGGTGCTGGCGGGCAGGCCCCATGGTCCGGGGCCTCGTGGCTGACACAGTGTATAACTCTGGCTGCTCCGATCTCTGCTTTGGGGAGACCCCCCCGCCTTCATCTTGGGGCTCCTGGATAAAGCTTCCTGCTGCGTTCCCAATCCACAGCGCCAACCGCACCGTGCAGGTTGGAGATTCCGTGCCATGGTTTTGTGTAGTGCTGGGGCTTGAACTCAGGGCCCCACTTCCGGCCTTTGAGTGGTTCATTGGAGAGAAGAGCGTCGTGGAGATTCTCACCCAGGGCTGGCTTTGAACTAGGAGCCTCAGATCTTAGCTTCCTCAGTAGCCTGGATGATTGGTGTGAGGGTCACCAGCGCCTTGCGGCCAATGCGAATAGCCTAGGAGCCTGAGCGGTTGAATTCTGCTCCTCCTCCTGAGCCTCGGTACCCGATCCTCGCCACCTGGGCCTCCTTGGGCCTGGCTACAGAGCTGCTGTCCCGAGCCCCTCTTGCTTCATGACAGGGAAGAGGTTAAGTGCCTTGGGGTCCCACCACCCCATGTCCCTCCCCCTCTGCTCATCCCCCCTCATTCTTGGGGGGCCGGAGGGGGGAGAAAGGGAAGCAACATTAGCTCTGGTTATCCTTAAAGAGTCTGGGAATCCACCAGAAAAACCGCAAGAGCAAATGACCTTTTATAAATTATTGTTGTTTTTGGAAATAAAATCTCTGGTGTGCTTTGGTGTCCCCCCCCCCCGAGGGGTGTATGGGCGGGAATATGGAGGGGTTGGGGCTCCCCTAGGCTGGAGAGATGACCCAGACACAGAAGGCTGTGTGCATCTGCCTCTGTCTGTCTCTCTGTCCTGCCTGGAACTGTGCCCACTGGATATGGGACAGCGTTTTAAGGGGTGCCCCTACTGTCCCCCAGGAAGCTGGCGGCTCCCCACCCCCACCCTAGTAGGAACCAAGCTGGTGATGAGCGCAGCCGGGAAAGCTGGCTGCTCCCACGCTCTGCCAGCACCCAGCCCCTGGGGCTGCGCCGCCCCGCCTGGGCTGGCCCGGCTCCCGGGCAGCAGCTGGTGGCCGCCTGGCTGGGCCGCAGCTGTGTCTGCCTGAGCCGGGGAGGCGGTCACAGCCTTGTTCTCAGAGAGATCAACTTCCCAGAGCACTGAGCCTGGAACCTTCCATGGTTCACAGCCGTTTTCTCCACCTGTGTGGAGACCACAGGCCGGGCCTGGTGCTCAGACAGCCCTGCCAGGCTCCTGGGACAGAAATGGCCTCGCTGGAGACCTGGGTCATATGCCCACCGGCTTCCAGGCAGTGACAGGCTGAGAATGCATGTAGGACCCAAAAGGCTGGATATAAGAATTTAAACCGGGCTGAGAAGGTGGCTCAGTGGTAGAGTGCTGGCCTTGCATGCATGAGGCCCTGAGTTTGATTCCTCAGCACCACACACACAGAAAAAGCCAGAAGTGGCGCTGTGGCTCAAGTAGTAGAGCACTCGCCTTGAGCTGAAGAGCTGAGGGACAGCGCCCAGGCCCAGAGTTCAGGCCCCACAACCAACCAAAAGTAAAAGAAACTCAGGGACAGCACCCAGGCCTTGAGTGGAAGCCCCATGATGACTGACAAAGAAAGAAAGAAAAAGAGAGCACTGATGGCTCACAGCTGTAATCCTAGCTACTGGAGAGGCCGAGACCGGAGAAGGTTCAAAAGCAGACCCTGGTCCAGCCGGCTATGACACTTCTATCTCTAATGGCTGGAAGAGGAGCTACGGCTCACGAGGTAGAGTACTAGCCTTGAGCAAAAAGAGCTCAAGCTCTGAATTGAAGCTCCAGAGCCAGAATGAAAGGAAGGAAGGAAAGAGAGAGAGGAGGGAAAAAGAGGAGGGAAGAAAAGTTTTAAGGTTGAGTGTGTAGTTTAGTAATAGAGTATTTTTTTAAGCATGCATAAAACCCTGGGCTTGTGGGCTGGGAAGGTGGCTCAGTGGTAGAGTGCTTGCCTTGCATGCATGAGACCCTAGGTTCGATTCCTCAGCACCACATAAGCAGAAAAAGCTGGAAGTGGCGCTGTGGCTCAAGTGGTAGAGCACTCGCCTTGAGCTGAAGAGCTGAGGGACAGCGCCCAGGCCCAGAGTTCAAGCCCTAAAGCGGACTCTCAGCAGGCCCTGTGGCATACTGGGGGCCAGAACCAGGTTGTGCAGCGGGGAGGGGGGGGGCAGCCCAGCCCACGCCCCTCCCCTCCAGTATCCCTGGCTGGCACATGGCGCTGGGGCTTTTGCCACATTCCTGATGTCCCCTGTCACAGCGAGACAGATGCTACCAATTCCCCAGGACAAGCTCTGCTGTGTTCTCCCTGGGCGGCGGCAGCGGCAGCAGCCGGGGCCTGGCCCGCCCTGGACAGCCTGGACTCTAGGCCCAGCTCCAGATCGCCACTTGCGGGCCGTGTGCAAGGCTCTGGTGAGCAGGACAGTCAGCAAGACCAATGGAGAGGTGGAGGGAGCGCCACCCCTAAAGCACAGGTGGCTGCTGGGTACGGGACAGGGCACCTGGGGGGTCAGGGACAGGTGGTACCTGGGGTGCAAGGAGAGTTAGGGTTCTGAGCCTCCATTTCCCCACCCTGCCTGTAATCCAGGAATGAATGGCACCCCCCCACACACACGCACACACACTCCCAATTGCTATATAAACAACAGCTGTCCATGCACGGAGATTAGCCGGGAATGGACTCAGGACTGGCTGCCTGCGAGGAGCAGTGACCTCACTGGAGTCTCACGGCTCTCCATTTCCCAGATGAAGACACTGAGGATCTGAAGAAGGAGGCTGAGAGCTGAGGATCGGGACTGGAGGCTAGCCTGGGCCGGAAGGCTCCTGAGATTCTTTCTTTGTTATGGGGCTTGAACTCTGGGCCTGGATGCTGTCCCTGAGCTCTTCAGCTCAAGGTGAGCGGTGAGCGCTCTACCACTTGAGCCACAGCGCCACTTCCAGTTTTCTGGCGGATAATTGGAGATAAGAGTCTCATGGATGTTCCTGCCTGGGCTGGCTTTGAACCACGATGCTCAGATCTCAGCCTCCTGAGTAGCTAGGATGCCAGGTGTGAGTCACCAGCACCTGGCGCCCTGGGAGTCTTATCTCCAATGAACCACTGGAAAAATCTAGACCTGCGGATGTGGCTCAAGTGGTAGAGCAGCAGCCTTGCAGGTAAAAATTGAGAGTTAGGGGCTGGGAAGGTGGCTCAGTGGCAGAGCGCTTGCCTAGCATGCATGAAGCCCTGGGTGCAAATCCTCAGTACCACATTCACAGAAAAGGCCAGAAGTGGCGCTGTGGCTCAAATGGTAAAGCGCTGGCCTTGAGCTGAAGAGCTGAGGGACAGCGCCCAGGCCCAGAGTTCAGGCCCCACGATTGACCAAAAACAAAAGCAAATGTTTCCAGAGCTGAGGAGGAGGCTTCATAGAAGCTGCTGCTCTAGCCCGGGCTTGAGTCGAGGGCGACACTACCTTGAGCTTGAGTCTTTCTGTTATCCCCCCTTCCCCCCCCCAGCCTGTGATCCCCCTATAGCTGTCCTGATGCTAGCTCTCCTCCCCCAGCCCCAACTCAGAGCCAGGGCCAGCAGAGCTGGACCCATTCCCGGGAAGGGAGGAGGGGGCTCCCGTGCAGGCTTCCCACACTCCCAGGCCGCTTCACCTGCTGGGAGATTTCGCCTAATCCCGGGTCTGTAGGAGGCAGCTGCAGCTCTCTTCCAGAGGAAATCTCCCTTTTCATTCCTTCTGCCACCGAAATCTGACCTTCCAGGGCACCTGGGCCCCATGGCTGCCCCCCTCATCCTCCATAAGACCCCTGAGGATGGTGGGGGGGGCGTGAAATCGTCAACAGCTGAAGGCAGCCAGTTACCCCACTTCCTCCCCAACTCCCGCCCCTGCCTTCCACGGCCGCTCTTTTCTGGACTCGATGGCTCACATTCACATTGGTGTGTGTGTGTGTGTGTGTGTGCTGGTACTAGGGCTTGAACTCAAGGCCTGGGTGCCGTCCCTGAGCTTTTCCCCACTCAGGACTGGTGCTCTACCACTTGAGCCACAGCTCCACTTCTGACTTTTCGGTACATAATTGGAGCTATGAAATCTGAGGAGCTGGGCGCTGGTGGCTCCCGCCTGTCCTGCTAGCTACTCAGGAGGCTGAGATCTGAGGATCACGGTTCAAAGCCAGCCCAGGCAGGAAAGGCTGTGAAACTCTTACCTCCAATAAACCACCAGAAAACCAGAAGTGGCACTGTGGCTCAAGTGGAAGAGTGCTCGCCTTGAGCTGAAGAGCTGAGGGACAGCGCCCAGGCCCTGAGTTCAAGCCCCAGGACCAACCTCCCCCTCCACCCCGAAAAAAAAGTCCATCTAATGCAGTCTGAACCAGTCCCTACTCACTCCCAGCATTCCTCCCTCCTCCTTTCCCATCTGGTCTCCAGCCCCAGAACCTTCTTTGTGCTTTTGTGCCATCCTAAGCTTACTTACATTACACCCCAGGGCCTTTGCCCTTGCCTGCAACACTGGTCCCCAGCTTCTTCCAACTTGGCCCCTCTCCCAACCACTCCGGCTAAAGTCCTCCTCTGGGATTCCGTATTCTTAACCTCTTGTTTGTTTTCTTCTGCAAGAATGACCTCGGAGAAGCCAGGGCTGATCCCATCCATAGACAAAACCCAAAGGTGAGCTGGTGGTCAGTGATGTGCGTGCTGAGCATGCGTGAGTCCCTGGACCCCTCTTTAAGCAAAAAACTGTTAAGGGACAGCCCCTAAGGCCCCAAGTTCAAGCCCCAGGACCAGCACACAGACAGAGACACACACACACACATTATTATTATTATTATTAAATAAAGGTCAGAATAAAGTGAACAGCTGGGCCATCGTGAGTGATTCAGGGGCCTGGGGACGGATTTGTCCAGTATGGAAAAATTCTCAGGGAGCCAGCACCACCCCAACACCCCCATCCTCAACTCCGCCTTGTGCATGGGGCTTGAGTGCTCTACCACTTGAGCCACAGCGCCACTTCCAGTTTGCTGGTGGTTCGCTGGAGATCAGACTCTCACGGACTTTCCTGCCCAGGCTGGCTTTGAACCGTGATCCTCAGATCTCAGCCTCCTGAGTAGCTAGGATGACAGGCGTGAGCCACCAGCGCCCCAGTTCCATCCCTCTTGAACCCCGACCCTCCCCTGATCTGCGCTCACCTGTCACCTTCCTCTCCAGCCATCAGTCCACCTGGGTCCTGTGACAGATCTCACCTAGCAGAGAGCTGTGGCGCGCACACACTGGGATGTCCGCGCCACCTGCTGGCTATCCTGGGAATTGCAGAATCCCACTTCAGCCTGGCCTTCAAGGTGTTCATCTGAGTTGGGGATCCTGTGAACCTCACTTCGTGGCTGATGGTAATCACATCATTCCTGGGGAGTGTCCCTTCTGCTGCTCTATTTTTTTCAGAATGGTATTTGTTCAGGGCAGTCAATGATAAGCAAAACTATCACTGCCCTTGGATGGTGTGTGTGTGTGTGTGTGTGTGTGTGTGTGTGTGTGTGTGTACGTCCGTGTGTGCACCAGTCCTTGGGTTTGAACTCAGGGCCTGGGTGCTACCTTTGTGGTAGTTAATGGGAGAGAAGAATCTCCTGGGAAGTTCCTTCCTGGGCTAGCTTTGAAACTTCAATCCTCAAATCTGCACTTCCTGAGTTAGCTGAGATTACAGGTGTGAG